TCTCATTCTCTCTGTCTCAAATAAATAAATAAAATCTTTAAAAAAAAAATTTTTTTTTAAAGTGGGGGCTCCTGGGTGGCTCAGTCAGTTAAGCATCCAACTCTTGATCTCAGCTCAGGTCTCCATCTCAGGGTCATGAGTTCAAGCCCAGCGTTGGGCTCCAGGCTGGGCATGAAATCTACTTTAAATAGATAGATGGATAGATAGATAGATAGATAGATAGATAAATAGATAGATAGAAAGAAAAAGAAATGTGCAAGATCTATATAAGTGAAACTTTAAATAGACTAATGAATGACACAAAGGAGATAAAAAATGGCAATCTCTGTCATATTCTTGGGTAGGAAAATTCAACATCATAAAGATATCTCTTCTCCATTGATCTATAATTTTAATGCATTCTCAGTGAAAAGATGACAATTTGGGGGTGGGGGGAGACAGCCATATGGAAAAAGAAGGAAAAATTCTAGGAGAAAGAAAAGGGCAAGAGGAGAATAGCTCTCCCAGATATTAAATTATACCTTAAAGCTATAATAAATAAAGCAGTGTGGATTGGGGGACTTGTATAAAAAGTATAGAAAAGGATTCAAATATGATGAAGGTGGCATTTTAAGTGAAAGATGACTTAAGTGAAAGAGGACTTCTACAATAAAATAGTATAGGGACAACTGGGAAGCCATCTGGAAAAAGTTAAGATGGAGCCAGTGCTCAGATGATACACTAGGATTAATGTCCAGATAGATCAAGATTCAATTTAAAATACGGAATAGGGGCACCTGGGTGGCTCAATCAGTTAAACATCTGATTTTGGCCCAGGTCGTGATCTCAGGGTCCTGGGATCGAGCCCTGCGTCAGGGTCCCTGCTCAGTGGGGAGTTGGCTTGTCTCTCTGCCCCTTCCCCCGCTTGTGCGTGTGTGTGCTCCCTCTCTCTCTCTCAAATAAATAAATAAAATCTTTAAAAAAATTATTGGCATGGTAAAACCGTAAGCACAATCAAAACAAATACAACTAGGAAAAAAAGCTCTGTCATTTGTATCACTTGTAAAAAGCTTATTTTCCTAACAGAAAGTGCCTATAGATCTATAAATAAAAGACTAACCACCTAATATAATAGAAAAACGGGCAAGGACTGTAAACAGTTCAAAGAAGAAACACATGTGACAAACATAGGAAGTCACACTCATGATTAGAGAAATGCAAAGAATATATCGAGATGCCAGTTTTTTTCAATCTATCAAATAGGCAAAAATTGAAGTTTGACAACACCATGATCAAGACGTAGGGAAACTTGAGAGCATTTGTGTATCTCACTGGTGGGGGTGTAGATTGATGCACCTCTTTGAAGGAATATTTGTCCATATATTTTTATTAAAGATTTTATTTATTTATTTGAGAGAGAGAGGGAGAGAGACCACAAGCAGGGGGAGTGGCAGGCAGAGGGAGAAGCAGACTCCCCGCTGAGCAGAGAGCCCAACGCAGGACTCCATCCCAGGACTCCAGGGTCACGACCTGAGCTGAAAGCAGGCGCTTAACCAACTGAGCCACCCAGGT